TTACAACAGTAAAATATTGGGTGGCAGAGTTTAAACGAGGCCGAACGAGCTGCCAAGCAGCGAACATCGCAGTGGTCGACCAAATGAGGTGACCACACCCGAAATGATGAAGAAAATCCACAAAATGGTATTGGATGACCGTCGACTGAAAGTCCGCGAGTTAGCAGACATGGTAGGCATTTCAAAAAGTGCTGTACATCGCATACTGACTGAAAATTTGGACATGAGAAAGCTGGGTGCGCAAGATAGGTGCCGCGATTGGCACAAAAACAGCGTCGTGAGGATGTTTCAATCGAGTGTTTGGCGAAGTTTCGCAGCAATAAAGCCGCTTCATAACCATGGATGAAACATGGGTCCATCACTTCACACCTGAGACGAAGGAACAGTCCAAACAATGGACCAAGGTGGCTCGATGGCTATTTTGAGGAGCTCGACGATTCCCACTATAAACAGCTGCTATCGAAGCTATTGAACATCGCTGGGAAAAGTGTATTGAGCTATGAGGAGACTATGTAGAGAAATAAAGATATTTTTTCCCAAATTTTTTGTGTTTTCTTTGTTAGGCCAGGTACTTCTGGGACTACCCTCGTACATAAATGAGCGAAGCTCGTTCGACTGACGCGTAGTCGAAAATCCACGACTGTGCCATGCATCGTTTTCCTCCTCGTTCGCTTTGTAGCACGCGAGAAAGATTTTGCAACGACGTGCGTCGTTTCGCTTTAGAGAGAAACTCGCGTTCTTCCCAAGGCGAGCGACATTCAATGCTCCGTCGAATCTCGAAAGAATCTGCGGATATGCGAAGATAAGCGAAGTGGAGCGTTCGCCTATCATCGATCGATAATCGCGCGCTCTCGATCTCGCGTGGTCGATTCGCCTGCAAGAGGTATATTACAAACCGTTGGAGCCACGATCACTTGAAACTGTCGCCAGGCGGACAGACTCGCATTTCCGGCCTGAATACGCGTCTCGAGTACGAGATCCGGTTTCTTACGTGACAACCGTAAGGTCACACTTGTGGCAGAATGCGATTTAGTTTTCGAAAGTAGACGCAACTGCCGCCAAGCAGGTGACACTTATTGCTACACGCGCACATGTGTCTGTGTGTGTGTATGTATTCGGTTAACAGACAGACGACGAAAGCTAGCATTCGTCGCTACATTGAGAAACATTCTTCTTAACTTTCTTAACAAACGGTAAACGGTGTCGTCCGAGAGGAAACACCGAGATGAAAAAGATGCAATATATCTTTTTCACATGGAAGAGCTACCGCACTTTTTCACAAGTCATCGATTTTTCATATTTTTTTATCTTCCTTCTTGTGCGAAATACCGCGCGATGTTGCGGTAAGAAAAAATCCAATTTATAACGAAACTCCGGTCACGCAGCAGCCTTGCAGCAGCCCCAACGACCGAATGACGCAGAATTGAAATTCGAGGTCGCGCGACCTCTCATAACAGGCGCAGCTTCTGCCCGCAGAAATCTGCCGTCTATTCGATGGCTAAAAAAAAAAGAGAAAAAAAAAAGAGAAAAATAATGGTCCGCGAACTGATATAGTTGTTGTTTATATGACGACGTTATAGGTTACATTCGCCTTGGAGGTCACAAAGATTAGCTCACCGTGAGAAACTTTGTTCCGCGGGATACCGTAAATAGCAAGCGATAACGGCCGCATTGGTCGCGTTATATCGTAACGCTCGCCGTAAAATTAGATATTTGCTTCATTAATGATCCGCGACGAAAGGTCAAAGGGGAGGTAGTTTGAACCCCCTTTCAGAAATGTCAATTCGCGCTTGTACAGGACGTTCCAGCTCTATACGCGTAACTGTGCAATCGGCTTTTCCCCATCGCGAGAGCTTAAAGGGGAACCGTTACTCGCCCGGTGAGCATTCTACCGCTTTGTGTCAATTATCTCGAAAGCCGCGAACGCGTAAAATTAATTTAGCCGTAACGAGCGCGACTTCTCGGCGAGAGGATCTCGCTCGTTCGGGAGGAATTTGCCGCGCTGACGGCAAGAGAGACGGAAAAGGAATCGTTGTAGAAAGAGAGAGAGAGAGAGAGAGAGAGAGAGAGAGAGAGAAAGAAAGAGATTAAAAGAGAGAGAGAAAGAGAGAGAGAAAGAAAGAGATTAAAAGAGAGAGAGAGAGAGAGAGAGAGAGAGAGAGAGAGAGAGAGAGAGGGAGAGGGAGGAGAAGAGAGCTTCTTTTTCCCTCTTTCGCGGCGCGGCGTTTCTCGGTACGGCGGCGCTTTTTCAATGACGCTGCGATTTTATCCCGCGCTTCTATGAACGACAGCTTAAACGCGCGCCCGATCGAGCGCCAGCGGCGCGTTCCGAGAATAAAACGCGTTCGACGTCCGAGCCGCGACGCATCCGCGATTCGCTCGCTCGCTCGCTCGCCGCAAACCGTCGACGTAAACGGCTTCTTATCTCCGCGCGCTTCTTTTCGCGCCGACCGTCACGTTTGCGCCGAACGTGCCGCGCTCGGCTCGGCTCTCACGCACATACGCACATACGCACGCACGCACGCACGCACGCAAGTTTCTTATGAATGCGAGCCCGCGTGAGCCGAGCGTGATAACGGCACGCTCCCGCTCGCGCAGCGACGGAAACGTGAGTTTCCGATACACATAAAACGCAATCGCTCACGTTTCGCTCGAGTTTCACGGCGATCGTTTCGCGGCGGTTTCGGCCGCGAATCTCGGTCGGCTCAGTCGGGCTCGGGCGAGCCTGCGAGAACCCGAGCCCGCGAACGTGACCACCGCACGTTTCACCTCCCTGCCCTCTCCGGCCCGCCGCATCGCCGAGAGGATCGGTCAATTATATATGAATCAGTGTTGGGAGGCAGCGTCGGGCAGCGTTCGCGCTCGCACCGCCTGTCGGGAGTGCATTGACACGTACGTGCGATGCATTGATGTGACCCGGACGGCGCGGGCGGTCGGGTCGCGCGATTCGAAACCTCCTGCTCGTCCTCTCGGCGGATCTTCGGAGTGCAGCCGGATGATTAAAGGTTGCAACACGCACACACCTCTGCCCCGGCGAGTTTCGCAACGCGTGCCGCGCGGGCGATGGCGTGTCGCTTTTTGTCTCGTTGATTATCCCCTCCCCTCCCCTCCCCCTCCCCCCGGGGGATACATCTTCCTAATGGACACATGGATGTGTCGTTGCGCGAAACTCGTCGAGATAAAAGTGTCGCAACTGGTTTAATCATCGGCCTGTACACACAAGTCGGCATAATAGTCCCGGCAGCCGGCGAGCTAGCCAGATGGACTCGCATGATTATCACGACGTGGGGCAATCGGTGATGGAGGCTTTTGTAATTCGCGCTTATCGGGCGAATATGCCGTAATGAGTTGATCCCTGTTGATCGGTGCAGCGGCCAGTTTATTAAAAGTTACACTCCGACTCCTTTCATGTTTTACTCTTCGCACGACATATTGTTTGGCGCAGAGTTTCATGCTTCTTTTCGTGTTTCTATTTCGTCGTTCCATGCGGTAGACACGAGTGTCATGTGAATGTCTTACAAGGGATGCAACCCCGTTACAGGAATCGTCTGATGAAGCTTGCTGCCGGTTTTACGCGCGCTGATCTGCTCGGGTACCTCCATCTAGAGCGCGAAATGTGTATTTCTTAGCTCTAAAGCGGTCTGGCTTCGTGCATTGAAGCTATTACGTTGATTTGTGCGCGATTGATTTCCGCGTTATCTCGAAGCGACGAAGGAGAAAAAAGAGAGAGAGAGAGAGAGAGAGAGAGAGAGAGAGAGAGAGAGAGAGAGAGAGGGAGAAACGTCGTTGAGATATCACGAACGATTAGGAGAACTGAGTCGCTCGATTGACCGGAGACTTCTATTCGCGGCGTAGATGCGCATGCGCGCGCCCGCAATCTACTCAGTCAAGAACGCATAAACAGATAAAAACGATACTTTTTCATTCAACTGCGAACATAATTACGCTCCGAGCGCGCGTACAATTGCAGAACGACGGGACGACAACTAATTGTAAGTTTTGCCGAAGCGGCCGTGTTTCAACAGCCGTTGCTTGAAATTTGTCTCAGGCGGCACGTTCGGCAGCTTGAATTTGACATCTTGAGTTTTACAGTCGATTATATGCAGACCGGCGTAATGTAGCTGCAACATTTAGTACGAGGTTACTGATAGATGATCCTAATCATAAAATACCTTTCTAGACATTAACATACATTAATAACATAAAGCCACACTAGGAAAAATGTATTGTTGCGCGAAACAAAATTTTGTTGTAACAACAAAATAATTTGGTTAAAATATGCCCAACAACACTGCTTAGTTCCTGTAAACAAATATCTTGTTTGATTACGGTTTGTTCGTATAACGTAACACTTTTGTTATAGCAATCGAAAAGCTTTAGCTATATGAATTTTGTTAGAAATACTATAATTTTTTCTTAACATATAAAATCTAAATTTTAGTTTAGAGAGACAAAATAGTATTCATTGGGCATTATTTTAGTTTATGTAAAATAATATTTTGTTATTATGTAATTTTTATGGATAAAATAACTAAAATGCTTAATTTCTATATATGAAGTCTAAGAACAAAATCATTTGGTCCAGAGAACAAAGCAGAAAGATATATTTAGTTGAGACAATTAAATATTTTGTTATATAAAACAAGATATTTGGTTGCTATTAAAAAATACCTCAACTAAACAGTTTTGTTAGAGATATTAAATTCTTTTTCCTAGTGCACCACTGTGCACCAACGTACTGCTCTGACAGGATCGTTCCCTCTACTTTGAATAATCAGTGAACAATAAATCAATATTACAGTTTAAAAGTCCCAATTGCCTAGTTCCGCAAAATGTTAAGGCCATTATGCCGGTCACTGCACACGCGACATTACATCGCGATGCCGCTGAGAGACTCGCACACTCGCAGACTCTAAATTCAAGTTTGAGTATCTCACATGAGACAAGTCTCAAGTGGCATCCTCGGGCCTGAATTTAGAGAGTTGAATTTGATTTTTCAGTTCAATCCCATGTGACGCATACGGCTATGATGCAGCGATTCAACCGGAAAACCGACACTCGACTGTAAACTAAAGCTTGAGTGTCTCACGTGAGAGATAAAGTTCCGGCTATTAATATCAGCCTTAGACGCGCTACGAAGTCGTTTCGCGTCACGAGTCCAACGGGTTAACATTCTGCGCAACTTTCGCGTTCTCGAAGGAATCGCGCAAGCGATACGAGCGCGCGGCCGCAATCAGCGACGAAAGAATCGCGGAGTTGTGACAGCGAAGCATGACCGATCATCCGGGCTTTGTTTACGTCTCCAAGTTGGAGCCGCAGTCGTCACAGGAGAAACCGGTTCGCCGTCGGATTCAGTCGGTTCCGATATCAGCTGCCGCTGGGGGAGTTCAAGAAGGCGACTCCAGATTAACTTCTACACGACCGGCCGTTCGCGCGGCCGGTTAAACAAGTAACACTCTTTTTTCTTCTCAATCCGTACGCACGTGATGCGCGATAAGGCCGTCGAGGCGGCCGAGGAACGCTCTATTACCGCGTGGTATCTTCGCTTCAATTAGAACAGCTTTGTCTCGAGTCGTCTTATCGGCTTTTCTCCATTACTCCCCCCGTAGCTTTCTCGTTTCTCCCTTGCGTCAACGAGCTGTATCTTTGTTTTGTAATAAATTATCCCCGGGGAAAAATAATCGCGTTTGAATTTTGTTTATATGGCCAGGATCATATACGTGTTTGTTTGTGGCCGCCACATTGAAAAGATACTGTACAAACGTGACCAAAAGAAGTGCTTGTATCTGCTTGCGTGTAATGTTGACGTTTAATTGAGTGAAACGTCGTGTTTCCTTCTTTCTACTCAACAGCGCTTCCTTCGTGAGAAACAAAATTATGTAATATACATATAATTATGTATAATTATATGATTACATATGTGGCCGTGCAGTGACAAAATTCACATACACACACACATACATACAAATTATATAAAAATATATATAATCATTTCCCTCCGAATTGCTTTCACAGGTGAGATCAAAGTGATGCTTCGGTGGGGATTGGTGCGCGTCGTATTCAGGAGAGATTAAGTTTGATTGGAAAGCTTTTTCTTCGTTCAATCGTGAGAAAAAAGGAGAATGCATCGGCAACGGCGAGGGGATTATTCATGTGTAATCATCGATTTCGAGAATCACCGTCTATTTCGTAATAAATGTACAGTTTTTATTTTCCTTTGAGCTATCATTGTGTATCCAATATAGTCATTTCTTAACTTACTAAATACGTACAAGTATCTGTATTTCTTTCTTTTTTCTAGACTTTTTTCTTTTACGCTCACGCAGCGACGACGGTACAGAAGAAGATTGTACGCTTGTGCAGTGTGCAGCGTTCTGCTGGACATGTGGTGCCCGGCAATGGAACGGGAGTTAGTCATTTACGCATGGAACACATTTAAAATGTAACGGGAATCAAGGTTCCCTACGCCCGACGGACGTTGAGCCGTGTGTGGCCGTTGTAATCTTGTTCGATGCAAAATTATGCAAATTAGTCAATCTCCTTTTATAAGACTTTCGTAAAGGTTCTCAGGATTCGTTTCATGTATGATCATTAAGTATCAATCATCATGCGTATCAAAAGACACGTATCCTCTTTTTCTTAATAGAATATGTACACGAAATAACGAATAGGTATAATTTCAACTTTTGCACTATGTCACGTGACACTCCGTATACTCATAAAAGAATTATATCTGCGCGCGAGCGTTCAAGCGCCGAGATGTAATTCAGATGCAAACGGTCGAAAATGTCAGGTTTCGGAATACGTGTACTTATACAAAAAATGTAAAATTTTTTGCGACAAAATTCACGCTGATTGTTGTCATCAAGAGCGAGCTATCATGACACAACAATCGGCACTCGAAAATCGAGAAGATACGAGTAATAAGGGGAATTCGGTTAACACGTTGACTGCCACGCTGATTTCCCCCGTGATTATCTTAATAATAATTCAGACATTATCATTAAGATGAGCTTATTATTGAGAATAATGAATTAACAATAATTATAGTAGCGTTCACACATAACTAAAATCTGACTAACTAGAAATACAACAAATAAATGCAATTGTATGCGAATGAACTTGAGAACTCATTTTATTGGCTCCTTATTGGCCATGCAATTAATTTGCTACATGTAATCGATTACGTTTTACTCATAAGTTAATATAACGCAGTGATGTACCGTCGATTATCGATGACCCCCATGGCGGGCAACGTGTTAATAAAATACAACTGTTCTCGACAGTCAAGGAAGTATATTGATCTTTAAAGTTAGCTCTCATAGAGGCGGGTACGATGGTGGATAAACGCTTTAGAATTGCGTCTATCGTGAAACAATTCTTTTTTTTTCCTGTTCTTCTTCTTTTTCTTTTTTTTTCTTCTTCCTCAAAGTACACCAGATTTTACGATTCATTCTAGTCACAAAAATCTTATAGATAGTCGAACGACTTTGTATCCCATCGCCGACGCTCTCAGTCACGTTCCCCTCTTTCCTCGGCTCGCTCCTCCGCCCTCGCTTTCATTCTGGTGATGAACGCTTGACCCTTGCTTTTCCTGAAGTTCTCATATGGATCGTTCAGGTTAATACCGACTCCTTTGTATTGATCGTTCTTATCGCGAATCTCGCCGCCGGAAATGGGCGCCTCGATGCCTTGCTCGTTAGCACCGAGACCCGCGCCACTCCAACCCATCTTCTTTAGCAATTGATGCCCTTTATTGTTCTCATCGATACTAATCTCTTGCGGAACTTTACTGTATGTAGAGCCGCTGAAAGAAACGTAAAATGAAAAGCCCAAGTGTCGTTAAGAATTTGAACTGGGCTCGCGTAACTCTAACATACTCTGGTAGACGCTATTTCTCATCGTGAAGATTTCATCGCATGAGAAAGAAAAGAAAACAAGACAGCCAAGGTACAAAATGAAGACTAACCAGAAGACGTAAACAGCTGGAAGACTGACAAGATTTACTACAAATGTTAACACTTACAGGAAACTCGGGGGTGTTGGACTTCTGTCTTGCCTATCCATCCTTCTATCGGGGCTACGATCCTTGTTACTGTTCCTCCTCCTCCTACTTCTGCTATTGTGATTACTATTGCGACTGTTGCGTCTGTGATTAGTCGCGGGCGATCTCGATCTACTTCTGCCTCGAGAACGCGAGCGCGACCTACTGCGTGACTTGCTTCTGTAGCGTTTCTTTGGCGGACTAGGGCTCTTGGATCTTGGTCGTAGGATCGGCGACGGAGATCTCGATCTCTGTCTGAGGCCTGCGGCTATATCTTCCTCTTTGCGTTTGCGAGCAGAGTTCTTTGCCTTGTAATATTCGTACAATCCTAATTTCTCCCAACCATCACTGTAAGTACAATTGAGAACGCGTATAATGGAACAAAGTGATTCTTATGAGTCTGTTATTTCCTAGATGTTTACATAGATGCGCGACGGTACCGACCTGTCTCTAGGCGAATCATGGTTTGGCGGCGCGTAAAATGCTTCTACGGCTGCGACCAAACGATCACTAGGAGGAGCAGGTGGTGGAAGTCTTATTGCATCAGGATCAAGCGGTTTATATTCTCCATCTTCCAGCTTGATCAATGGTACCATAAGACCGGCTGGAAGCTCGAAGTAAGGCATACTAGGCATCAAATCCTCGACGGAAGGTTCATGAATAACAGGTGCAGGTCCGAAACCTGGCGGTGGTTTCGAAAAGTCCGGCAAAGGAACATTACTGAATGGCGGTGGCTCATTAGAAGGAGGTACGCCCCATCCTGGTGGCGGTTGGCTGAAGTTCACGTCTGTGCCTATTGTATTCGGGGGTCCGGGATGACTAGGTGGTATAGACATGTTTTGTTGATTCTGCGGAGAAAGAAGAATTTGCGTTAAATAAACGAATAGGTAGATAGATGAACAGATTTAACCTCAGGGTAGAAATCCTTCAGATATACAGGGTGATCCGAAATTCTCGCATTCAGAGTACAGGGCATGATATTTTATGCTAAAACAAATAACTTTTTCCTTCAGCAAAATTGCGTCCGACAAGTAGTTTTTGCAGAAGAACGTGATAAAGTTAACGAATAAATGTTCTTATCTATGTAGCGCTTAGAGCCGGCTCACGCGCCTCTCTCGCGTGTATCTAATCAGTGAGTATTCTAGTATTCATAAGTAATATCTTTTAAGACGCTTATACGGCTCTGTTGTGATTAGTTGACGATATCTTAAGATTGTACTTAAGACAATTTTAAATAATAAGAATCAACTATAAACAATACTGGGATTTCACAATTCGCAAAGCATGTTACTTACATTTACATTTTTTTTTATTTTCAGATGATATTGTACACTGACATTGTATGATATTGTACTCAGACAATATTTTATTCATTTATTACGTAAGAAATAAAGGCAGTACTTATTTTATTAACTTTTCATTACTTAAGCAATACAATATGGAAGAAGGTCAAAAATCCTGCTATTGTTCATGGTTGATTCTTATTATTTAAGATTGTCTTAAGTACAGTTTGAAGATGTCGTAAACTAATCACAACAGAGCCGTATGAGCGTCTTAAAAGGCATTACTTATGAATATTAGTAACTGTTTAGGTACATGCGAGTGAGGCGCGCGCGCGCCGGCCCTGAGCGCCATATAGGCAAGAGCACTTATTCGTTAACTTTAATACGTTCTTCTGCAAAAACTACTTGTCGGACGCAATTTTGCTGAAGGAAAAAGTTGTTTATTTTAGCATAAAATATCATGTCCTGTACTCCGAATACGGGAATTTCGGATCACTCTGTATAATAATGAAAAATATATAACAAAGTTTCTGGATTTTGCTTTAATTTTATTTCATTAGATACTTTCTTGACTGTATACTTGAAGAGGTTCCACCCCTCAGGGTTAAATCTATCTATCAATCTATCAGAGAAGTGTTGCTAAAAATATAGTAAATATAATAGTTGCTAAAAATATAATAAATATAATAGCATAAAATAAAGAAAAAAACACAAGAATTATGAAAATTTCATGTTACAAAACGAAAAATATAATAATAAGATTAACACGCCAAAATTGAAATGTATTTAGTGTTAACGCATGAAGCGAGGAGAAAAAGCGACAGAAAATCTAGTTCAAAATAAAAATGAGACACAAAGGGAAGGAAAAGAAAAGGGGTTTTACCATTTGAGGAGGCGGCGGTGGCGGCGGCGGTGCTTTCAATTGCTGATCTATCGCCATCTTTTGCTGCTCGATATTCTGGATTTGTCTGAGCGCGTGAGTAACAAACGCTTGATGTTGCGCCTGGTAGTTATCGAACGTTTGCTTCGTCGACGCTGTAATGGGAGTGATTGCGTTGGCATACTGCGCTACCAAATTAGCCTGATACTCCGACCAAGAGCCGCTCGGTTGCTTCAGCTTATCTATGATTCCTTCGTCGAAATAATTGTTCTTCGACTCCCACAAACTTAACAGTTTATTTAGCTTATTAAGTTGCTCTTCGGAGGCGGCTAGTGAAGTGTTACAGAACATGGGGACAACAACACTTTCCATTGCCTTGCGAAGATCCATAGATTTTTTTCTTGCACTGAAGAAGTTTCCAATTAAATATCACGCACATTGTGCTTACATAGAGAAATCTAATATGTTAACTTATGACACATCGCGGTTTAATGTGATAAAAGTGGATATAGATAGGTGCAAGTGGTCTCTCGGAGTAATTGGGAAACTTTAGAAACAAGAATCAGAGTGGTTCGAGGAAAGATGAAAGGAAACTGTGATGATTGGTTCATTGAATATGCAAGATTATCCGGAAAGTGGGTATGACAGGAATGAAAAAAGAAACCGTTTCTGAATGTTATTATTATGATTAAGTTGTCATCGCAACCAACTCATATCTTTGCGATACGTTATACTAACCAGTGATGCAAGACATCATTCACCAGGTAAATAATGTGTAGTTTATGGCTAAAAGTCGTCCCCTGAATTACTCTGAAAGAAATAATCCAAAATATAAAATGTGTACGTATACACACGCGCGTTCTCTCTCCCTTTCTCTTTCTTTCCTTTTCTTTCTCTACCTTTTAATCGAGGTGAAACTCGCTCGTTTCATACGTACTTCTTCAGCAAATGATCGGCGACTACTTGATTACTCTGCGGCGTAAGTGAGTTCTGTAGTATCCAAGCCTTGCCCGCGCTTATGCTGTCCTTCGTGCAGCTATCGATGATCGGTTGCAGCACCGTGTCAAACGCAGCCAGATCTGTGTTCGTGCTTTGCGCATTGTTTTGCAGCGCCGTTTCCTGTGCCTGCCTCACAGCATCCTCTACTCTTCCCTGCTGTTGCGCCATCAGCGCAGCATGCTGTGCAGCCAGGTTCTGTTCTGATTGTCTGACTTGGTCCTGCAACGTTGTCTGCTGCGACTGTAGATTCGCCAATTCATTCTGGAGCCACGCGGGTGGGCCGCTGATGTTAACCGCTTGCGCGACCCCGGCGATCGGCGGGTTCACACCTCCCATGCCGCCGGGAACTGGTCCGATTCCGGGCGGCCCTGCATTTCCTGGCCCCCCGATCTGTCCAGGCACGCCAGGCAAAACGGGACCGCCTTGGCTCCCGACCGGTCCGATTCCGACCACCGGATTTATGCCATTGTTTTGTTGTGTACTTAGACCGGACGCAAGATTGACGTTATTCAGTGGCTGCGAGACGGTAGTGGCTGTTTGCTGCTGCTGCGAAACGTTTAAACGTGGGTCTGCATTTTGCATTGGATTTATTCCTTTTTGCTTTAAAACTGTAAACGAATGACGGTGGATTATTGTGAGATGCTTAAGTCCTTTCAATCGATATTGAGAAAAATTTCTATACAAATAATCCGATTTTGTTCTTTTTTTTTTCTATTTTTCGTTCTGCCGAGTCTTATCTTGGTACCAGTGCGTAAGAAAATTCTTGGCATTTTATAAGAGAGAAGTATGTATATACATGTACAAGCTCTTTCGGGAGCGCTATCTATGCTCTTTTTATCCCTGTCTTTTCTTTCGAGTTTTCTTTACATTTTTACAGTACTAATTTTTTGGGGGTTTTTTTTTTTTAAGGGAGACGCTACTTCAGACGGTGGCTCGCGTACTCCCCCGCACAGAATTGAAGCAATACATGGAGAATGTATTGAACTCCGTATTTAGATAAGCTCCAGCAAAAATCTTAAAACTATATCTTCTTTAAATCACCATTATCAAGGAATCATAAAGGTCTCTTTAGTGCAAAAGCTTTCCGCTTAACAAATAGCAATCCCAAAATCTTGAAAGGAAGAGTTTCCTATTCGACGAACAATATTGTATGCTTGCAATGATGAAATCAGACACTGTTTCACTGGTATCGCTTTTCAAAGTCATTCCTTCGCTTGTCGTATAAAGCATGTCGCCTTTTCTTATGCCTCTCGATTGCTGTAGCTGTTAAGGGGATATGTCCCACTTACTGGCTTGCTCTGTAGTCACTTTGTACTGATAGTAGTTGAAGTGTTCTCCGCCGAACAGGAAACCAAACTTTGGGTTGTCCTTCTGCTTGTTCTTAGTCATCTGCTCAAATTCTGGTCCGTTGCGAGCGACAAACTGCGCCAATTTGTCTATGATGTTCCGTAATTCTGTATCTGTGTTACACAAAATCGAAAATTAGATTCAACAGTGATAAATCAAATACTAGTAAATCAAAAATTGTAATCTGATTTTAGCTACTCCCTCACTACGATCCACTCCTGGAAAATAGAGAATGATGAAAATTATGAAAATTATCCCTACTTATAAATGCATCATTTTTTTTATATATTGCAATCCAACAGATTATCGAATGTGTGTGTGTGTGTGTGTGTGTGTGTATACACGCCATCTCCGCATCCGTTCGTTCAAAACTCAATGGCAGTTGGATTAAACGCCCAGATAACAGTTAAAACGCACAGATAACCTAGCACATAGATCTAGGCTTTAAACATGCTTAATACTCGTTGAGCGAGACGCGAACGGTCGGGCGCGGGCCTGCGAAAACAGCGGAACCACGGCGACCTGTTTGATTGTCGTACATTCGCGGTTAACTTGTGAAAATGCGAGATTGGTATGTTCGGCGCGAATACTTCGGACGAAACCGAGAAGGAATGTGCTGCGGAAACGCGCTGCGGCAGGATCAGCAACGTATTTGAAGACGGCTTGCTCACCTGCAGGGGCCTGATCCATCGTAGCGAATCCTCGGCCCACTGATCGCGTCAAAACTGCTCGGTGCGTGTTCGCTGCTTCGTGCGGCCGTTATTCCGTGCGTAAACGGAATACGGCACCGTAGATCATTATTTTCTCACGGTGGACTCGACAACGCGCTTAACGTCGCCATTACGATCTCCGTGGCGGTCCGTGGTGTTGCCAACTTACACTTTCCACGATATCGGAAAGGGAGCGAGCGTGATACTCGCTGTGGCGTTGGAGTGGAAAAAAAGTGGACGTTGGGACACAAAGAATACAGCCGGAGTCCGCGCTTTCTGCACTTCCGTGGCTGTAGCGGTCGAGAGGGAGCTCGTATGCTTAGAGTCCGCCATTTTCGCGTCCCGCCTAATCTATTTCGCGTGGGTTACGTGGACTTCGCGATAAAAGATAGAAGGACGAATCTTGTAGCTCGAATCTTTGTACTATAGATATAGTAAAAATAGACCGAGTATATTTTTTTATAGAGACTGAAAATCAGGTAAAGAAAGAAAAAACAGGAAGCAGAGATGTCGAGTAGCTTTCTCTCTCTGTTCGCACATGCGCAGTAAGATACAGATAACAGCTATGTTCTGATACTGATCACTGCTAGTACTGAAAATCTATATTTCGTGTCACGTATATTATAGAGTTTTGGACCGATAGTGAATATCGGAACATACCCACTATAGGGTACCTATTATGGCTGTGTTCCGATATTCACTGCCAGTACACTGAAAATACATAGTTTGCGTCACGTATGCTATAGGTTTTCAGTGCTGACAGTGAATATCGGAATGCAGCTTATGGAACTCGTCGGAATCGATTCCGATCGAATTTATTCCATTATTTCCTAGATTTCTATTATCTTTTCTAGGGGAAACGGAATTATTCCGATCGGAATCGATTCCGACGAGTTCCATAATAGGTACCCAGTGATGCGATTCTGTAACTCGTTATTGGAGTTAACGATACTTTCGTTATCGTTGCGCAGTTTTTGTATACCGTAGAAAAGCTGCACAACAATAACGAAACTGTCGTTAACTCCAATAACGAGTTACAGAATCGCGGCACAGGTCTGTTTTTTATCGCTGAACTAGTGGGGGAACACTCAGGGAACATAAAAAGGAATAGATATACATCTAGGAGTTAGTGAAAAGGAGAGAAGAAGAGAATAAGTGCAAGTTAGTGCAGCCAGTTCAGCAATAGAAAACAAATCTAAGCCTAATATTATGGGTCCATTCCGTTTCACGCATCGAGCGCGTTAATTGCATCCAGAACCGTTCCGTTTCAGCTAATGCGTGCATTGGTGGCGTATAGAATTCCCTAGAATCCCCCCACCTCTATCGCATTAAGCGCGCATCAGCTACTACAGCTCGGACTAGAAGCAGTTGATGCGGGCATGCGCAGATTAGTATTTATAATTTTTTATATAACCCTATTTAAATACTGACAACGTGACGTGACGACTGATATATTTAACGTACCGATATTCTTTTATTTTAAACATACAGATAATCACAGATACAATGGACGAAATCGACAAAGTTGAATTCCCCGTATTAGGCCCAGTTCCACAACTTGCTTTAAACGGAGTTTAAAGCAAGTTGTGGAACTGGGCCTTGGTGGATAACGAAATGATCACTATGTTTCTCGAAAAAGAGATCGCGTTAAGAGCATCGAAAGGTAAAATTGAAATTTTAAAGTTTTAGAAACAATTCAATTGTATTTTTAAATTAATGCATGTGTGTGAATATTTTTCTACAGATCAAGATTTCTTGATAAAATATAGACTCACTACTACTACTGCTACTACTGTTGCTAATTCTGTTGTCATCATTCACTAATGAAAATAAGGCTATTGTTGTCAATGTTTCGATGTCCATTGTGACCATAGTAGCATCCATTTTTCCTTTCACATCAAACGCATCAAAAGTCGTTCCGTTTCCAAAAGCGCATAGTCGCATTAACGAAAACAGAACGATACCAATGCTTTAAGCGTGGTCTACAATGGCCGTAAGCAGTAAGAAGTAAGCGTGAACAGTAAGAAATGGACCAACTACAGTTGATTATTTTTGTCATTATCAACTGTGATTGGTTTATTTCTTACCGCTTACGCTACTTCTTACTACTTAAGGCCAGAGCACAGACTTCTGCATAACGCATAATACACAACGCATAAGAGAATCAACCAATCAGAGTTCTTTATTTTTGTCCTGAGGGAAATGAAGAAAACTAATTGGTTTATTCTCTTATGTGTTAGGTATTATGTGTTATGCAAAAGTCTGTGCTCTTGCCCTTACTGTCAATGGATGCATTCAGTACTACGACTCTTCAGTACTACAATTCTTTTAGATTTAAAAATATACACCAATCAGATGCAAGAGCTCATTTAGCGCCCAGTGAGCGGTTGTAGTACTGAATGCACCGATTGTAGACCACGATTAAAGCGTCGTTTATGTAATAGCGTGTAAATAATTAATAATTATTAATATAAAATAATTATTAATATAAAACAGCAGACAAAGGATTCGGCCTGTATTCACGTTCTAAAACCAACGCTAAATTTAGGCATTTAAATTTTCAGTTGGCATCTAGACGTAATATTCATATTAACTGGACAATTGAAAATTTAATTTAGATTTTTTTAGAACGTTAAATATGGACTGTTATTGTTTTTCTTAATTTGTTTCTGATATCGCAGGAATATGCAATATCTTCCTGTAGATATTTTGTCTCAATACGGTTTGGACACATTTTTCTCGGTATATGCAATGAAAGAACTGAAAATTACTAAAGAACTAAAATGATGCTGTATTTATCGGTTGCGTTCCCATCGAGAGTCCAAACCACATCGAAAACAAATGGACATTTGCCGTCTTTATTTTCTTCGAAATTTCTTTCCATAATTTAACTAATTCCATTTACGCTTCTCCTCCTACGTCCATGATCGGCGATTTTTCATTTTTCTTTTTTTTTTAGAAGGATAAGTTCATACTGCTCACAAGATGCGTACAATCTTAAAAATATAATGATATCAAAACCGTTTTGACAAAATGAATTTTATACTTTTTATGTTCGATGTTAGAAATCAGAAGATTTATTAGAACAAACAATTCCGTCATTAAAATTTTGAACTAAAATGAAACTAAAGTGAAAGAAGAGGGAAAAAAATTGAATTCTTGAATAGCTGTGTGAAATAAATTTAATTATAACAAATAACAATAAATAAATGGATTTCCCCCTCCCTTTACGCAATCTCAATTATTTTGAACTTGCGGTTTTGACCATTCTACGTTCAAAATAAGATAGTCATATCCATAGCCGTCTAGAGTAGTAATCGCTCTCGCAGCATCAGCTCTATGTTTAAAATGGACGTAAGCAAAGCCTTTGCAGAGGTTGGAAAGCTTTTCTTTTGCTAAGAATTGCTTCACCACAGATCCGAAGGGCTTGACGAGTTCGTCTAAATCCGCATCAGTGGTGCTCTGCGAGAGGTTGGAGATGCGGATGGCTGTCGTGTCGTCTCGTCGCTGCATCTGCATAGAGTCACCTCGTTTGTTGCCGCCGTCGCGCATACCGGGCGGCACGTACTTGCCACCTTGCGGTTTAAGTTCAGCCATCGCACCCGGTACGGCCGTGTTAACGAGCGGCTTCTTGTCGTCGGGTACTTTCCCTGGAACAGAGAGCAGAGCGCGAATTTAGAGATTTACCGACATGACTAGTAACAAATGTATCAACACAAGCATTCCGGTAACAATATTGGGATCGACGTTACATGTTTATATTCTACGTCGTCGCTTACCTCCAGCGAGAACGGTGTCCTTGTACGGACACTTGGATGTCCAATGATCGCCGTTGCAATTACGACACTTGACGACGCCTTTGTCGCCCATGCTCTTCAATTTGTCCAAGGAGTCCTCCTCCACCTTGTTCTCCTCCTCTTTGCTGGAGATAAACTGCATAAATACATCTTCGCCGATAACGGTCGTTGCTGGATTAGGTCCCGGCCTGTCGTCGGCGGGATCGCCGAACTTGGCCCAATTCTTACGCGCTGCGATCGTCTTTGATACTACGCGACGTTCCACCTTGAAAGTACGTATTACTTTCACCTTCTTGTTGTCCTGATTATATTTGTATTCTGTGAGTATTTTGTGGCCATTCTCGTAGATCTCTGACGGTGCGGGCAGCGCTCCTCCCTCCTCTTCGACCTCATCGGCCCAGCTTGACTTTACGTCGGACGCAACTGGCATTTCTGGAAAAGTTTAAGCACATATGACCACTGTTCTTAATATGTTGGAGCATGTGTATAATGTGTGTAAATATTAAATCTCAAAATGTTAAGGCAATCAGAGATATTTTCCTTTATGAATATATATTAAATATATTATATATTTTTAATGATATACATCAACCAATGTTATTGAAAAGCTTATTTATCTGTATGACACTATCTGGTAATTGGATGTTGTACAAGTTATATCGTATGATGGAATAAAATATCTTGTGGGAGGACATGGAAAACTCTGATACTGATATAAATATCTTGGGTAAATATCTATTTATACTTAATCTATTACAGACATCTCAGTCATCTTATTTTGATAATAAATGAAACATTATTAGAGAGAGAGAGAGAGAGAGAGAGAGAGAGCCAGAAAGTATACACAAATGCTGAAACAAATTAGATATGAAATTATACAATATTTTATTTGTAGAATATTTAATAATATCATTACACAGATGTATATTATTTAAAATATATTTCTTTGTGAGTAGTACAAAATATGCTATCCATCTGTCTATTGTAATTTCATTTTATCAGAATTATATTTGATAATTTTTAGTAAGTGTGTTTCGTGTGTAAAAAACTAAATGGTCACTCTTTGTTATTAGAACTGTATAAAATCTCAGTATTAAAACAGATTCTGTTTATTAGAAACTTTCCAGAAATTAGAAAGTTGCCAGTTCCTTGTTGCATTATTGTTCATAAACATATTCCTTGCTTTTCTGGTTACATATTTCTAAATCTTGTACATATACTTTATACATACTATGATATTCAAGTAATGAATACATAATTATATTGGTATTTCCAAGTGTTTTTAAAAATTTATGAATTTTCTTCAATGTCAGTCTGGAGCAAATTAGAATTTCTCGTATGAAAAATAATGATGAAATCTATCCAAATTTAAACTAGCCAATTTCTAATTTCAAGAATATATCAGATCCAGACAACAAAGAATGACAGAACATGTACAAGATCCCATATAAGGAATACTACCTTGTTATAGTAAATGAATAATCCCTGCAAGTAGCAAGGATGACACTAAAATACTTCAATTTAGCATCTCTTCATAGTACTTATCAAATGAGATATTAATCTCGTAATTCAAAACTAAGAATATATAAATATACAAAGTTTCATAAAATCAGACCACAAGCTTTGTAGAGATATAAAGCACATTAATACAAATATATACTAGGTGCGCAACCAAGTTTCCGGGTTTTTTTGATCAATGAAAAATGGAAAATTTCAAGAGAAATATAAAAAATAGTTTATTCAAAATAATGCCCCTCGCTAGCTATACATTTTTGCCATCTCTCTGGCAATACATGAATACCGCGACGATAAAACGACGCGTCTTTGGACCGAAACCATTCATCCAACCAATTTTGCACTTCTTCGAAATTGGTCAAGTATTGCTCAGCCAAGCCATGCGCCATCGACCGGAACAAGTGATAATTGGAAGGGGACAGGTCTTGCGAATATGTCGGGTGCGGTAACAGATCCCATTTCAGCATTTTGATGGTATCCTGGACGATGGAAGTGCGATGGTACGTAGCGTTGTGGTGCTGCAATATCACTCGGTCGTGTCTCCTGTTCCATTCTGGCCGTTTTTTGAGCAATGCATGGTTCAAATTAATCAGTTGTTGTCGGTAGCGATGCCCATTGATAGTTTCGTCCGGTTTCAGCAGCTCATAATACAAGATTCCTTTCTGGTCCCACCAAACGCAGAGCTTTATCTTCTCTTCGAAGTAATTTGGTTGTGATGTCGATGTTGATGCTTCGCCAGGTGAAAGCTGCGATTTTTTGCGTTTGGGACTCTTGAAATATATCCATTTCTCATCGCCAGTAACAATTCGATGCAGGAAACTCTTTTTATCATGCCGCATAAGCAAAATTTCGGAAGCGGCTCTTCGATCTCTCCTTTGTATCGCAGTCAATATTGCAACATATTGCATTTTCCTTTTTTTTGGAATCCATTTTTCTTTCTTTTGAAAGTTCCCAACCCATTTTCCCTTCTTTTGAATTTTTCCCATGGCATGTAAACGTTTGGAAATACCTTGGCGAGTCATGTTTAATGCCTTCGCAAGTTGAACTTGTGTTTGCGTATCATCTTCATCCAATAACGCTTGCAGATCGGCGTCCTCAATTGTTTTTGGTCTCCCGGAGCGTTCCTTGTCCTCAATGTCGAAATTGCCACTTCTGAAGCGTTTAAACCAATCTTCACAGGTAGTTTTCGATGGTGCATGTTCGCCGTAGGTCTCCTCAAGCAAACGACTTGCTTCAGCTGCACTTTTTTTAAAGTTAAAACAGAAAAGCAAAGCTTCCCGCAAATGCCGTTTATTTGGCACAAAATTCGACATCTTCGTCGTTAGTAAAAATATTTTTGCGTTGCGATGTGTGTTGGTATTACGACTGATTATTGTTAACAGATGTCCAAGCTATAAAAAAAATACAACTTCAGACATGTATGTCGACTACATGTGTCGTTAGCGCCATCCATGTGTGAAATCCGGAAGCTTGGTTGCGCACCTAGTACTGTTGATATATATTATACTTTTCAACATCTTGCTTTGACAAACTGGAAATTTTATAAATGCAAGAATAAACAAATGCTGCAAAACTTGGTCCATATTTTATATTCAAAGTAAGAATAAATTGAAATAAATTACAAAAGCAACTTTTTGCGATAAATGTTCAGAAATTTCTATATTAATAATTGAATGTTACAACAATTTCACATTTGTAGATCAACAAATTATATAATTTATGTAGCATATAAAGCCGAACACACAATATTTAGAAATAATGCATTCCATTTCTTAAATGTTTAAGCCGAAAATGAAAAACATTTAATACTGTTTGGATTGTGCTAGACGACACGTGCTATGTGTATATAACTTACAATAATGTCGGCAATCAACTTCCGAAAATCACAATTTATCGTAATGTATTTATGTAATTTATGTAATAATGTATCTATCATAATTTATGTAATTTTAACTAAGCAAATGCATGTAATATTTTGATATACGAATAAACTGAATTGATAATAATGAATTGATAACAACATGTTGTTTAACGACCAAACAAGGCTACAAATATCACTTTAAAAAGAAAAAAGAAGGAAAATGTAATATATTATATATCGAAATATTACCTCTAATAAACTTGAAATCACATTAACAGCAGGCAGACGATCAGAATTGACAAGTCACGACGAAACGAACGAAATGCACATCAAACTTAGCAAACCTTGTTCCATGGCGACAGTGTAATAGAAAATGGAAGGACTGGTTATTACTAACAGATGTCCAAGCTATAAAAAAAAACACAACTTCAGACATGTATGTCGACTACATGTGTCGTTAACACCATCCATGTGTGAAACCCGGAAACTTAGTTGCGCACCTAGTATTGTTGATATACATTATACTTTTATTATACAACATTATACAACATCTTGCTTTGACAAACTGGAAATTTTATAAATGCAAAAATAAACAAATGTTGCAGAACTTGGTCCATATTTTATGTTCAAAGTAAGAATAAATCGAAATAAATTAAAGCAACTTTTTGCGATAAATGTTCAGAAATTTCTATATTAATAATTGAATGTTACAACAATTCCACACTTGTAGATCAACAAATTATATAATTTATGTAGCATATAAAGCCCAACACACAATATTTAGAAATAATGCATTCCATTTTTTAAGTGTTTAAGCCGAAAATGAAAAACATTTAATATTGTTTGGAGATGACACATGCTATGTGTATATAACTTACAATAATGTCGGCAATCAATTTCCGAAAATCACGATTTATCGTAATGTATTTATGTAATTTATGTAATAATGTATCTATCGTAATTTATGTAATTTTAACTAAGCAAATGCATGTAATATTTTGATATACGAATAAACTGAATTGATAATAATGAATTGATAACAACATGTTGTTTAACGACCAAACGAGGCTACAAACATCGCTTTAAAAAGAAAAAAGAAGGAAAATGTAATATGTTATATATCGAAATATTACCTCTAATAAACTTGAAATCACATTAATAGCAGGCAGACGATCAGAATCGACAAATCATGATGAAACGAACGAAATACACATCAAACTTAGCGAACCTTGTTCCACGGCGACAGTGTAATAGAAAATGGAAGGATTTAAGGGTCTGCAGGACAGTGCTGAGAAATCCAAAGAATTTCCCACGCTTCAGCGCATGCCTGAAGCAGAGAGAAACCTGAGCGGCCATCAGCGAAGGTTCAGAAATTTTTATGAATTCGACGCGCCCCCTGAGAAAATAGACGTCAACTACGTCGCTGTCGTTCGGTAACGAGGTTTGTCTGTAATAGTTTGGTTCATATCTGAGCTACTACACAGAATATAGTAAAAATTATATATATCATCAGGAGGAATCATCCCAGCAAACACAATATTATATATAATGTGCGTGTTAGTTGTAATTTCCTATTCAACAATATAACTGTTATATAACACAAATGTTATATAATAGTTATGAACTAAGATCTTTATCAGTTTTCTTTCAGTATGTATAACAGTCAAGATATGATGAGCAAAATAATTATTCGATAGAATTGTAAATAAGATTATCGAATTTGAAATACCGTATACAAAAAAGTCATTTTCACAATCGTAAATAATACTTTTAAGGAAATGTCATAAATAACAATATATAAGAAAAATAATATAAAAAACTAATCCACGTTACATGTAATATTGTGTTTGCTGGAATATTTCACCCACTGCGTTTCACGTAATTAGGAAAGGAAATTATTTAGGATAAGAAATAAATATAAGAAATATATTATATTTTCAATTTTTTATTTTCTTTTATGTATGTATGTGTGTGTGTGTGTGTGTGTGCGCGTGCGTGCGTGTGTATATATTTGTTATTGCGTCATATAAATATTTATATAGGACATTCCTCTGCCTCTTCTTTTCCATTCTCCTCTTCCTCTTCCTCTTCCTCTCCATTCTCCTCTTCTTCTTCCTGCATCTTCGCTTCCACCTCTTCCTCTTCCTCTCCCTGTCCCTCTTCCTCTTCCTCTTCCTCTTCCTAGTGCCGTTGCTTCAATAATATTTTGTAATGCTGCAGTCTGTAACAATAAGACAATATTAAAATATAAAGTAAAGAGTTAAGTAAAGAGTATAAGAAGTTACAATTTAATATAATGTACTCAGTAAACATACATGTCTAAAAGACATCTAAAAGCTTATTCTTTAAAACAATTTTTAGACTTGTATGTGTAAAAAACGTCTTAAAGAAATCTTTTAGACGTCTTTTAGACATGTATGTTTACTGGATATTGATTAGCGTCTAGGCCTAGTTCCACAACTTCTAGTTAACTTCTAGTTAGTAGTTAGTTAGTTTTCTTAACTTCTAGTTAAGAAAAAGCTTCGTGCGAGATGGGCACCACATTTGCTAACAATTGACTAAAAATGCATTCGAATGCGTATTTCTCAAGCGTGTTTGGCACATTTTAAACAAAATAAAATGGACTTCAAGCGTCGTTTCATAACTGTTGATGAAATTCGAATTCATCACTATACACCAGAGCGAAATGAACCTTCCGGAATCACATTTTAATGATGGTATTAAATTATTGGAAAAACGTTGGAATAAATGTATTGAAGTTTTAGGAGATTATATTGAAAAACCTATTTTACGGCAAAAAAAATTTTCTTTCATTGTTACGCCAAGAACTTTTCAGACTGCCCTCGTAGATTTTTATACTTACTGTTAACGTTATTGGCTCGGTCGCCGTCGTGGCCATCGCTGCCGTCGTCGATGTCGCCCCGGTAATTTTTTCAGACACCGCCATCGTAGCCGTCGTGGCTGTCGCGGGCGTCGTGACCGTTGTGGCGGACGTCGTCGTCATCGTATTAAGCCCGTTCTGAAATAATTCATGAAACATATTTGTTATAGAAAAGCATTTATAATATATATATATATAATTAATATTTAACGGTTAAATATATATTTACCTCATTCGCCGACATCCTCGCATATGCACTGTCTAACACCTACTAAGCAACTGATATCTACTGACACCAACTAACTGGAAAACATATGTAGCACGCTAGACACATAGCTGCGGATTGTTTATGATTCCCTCTCTTGTTCACTCGGGCATTTCGCCGGCCGATACACGGCGAGAAAATGCTTTCCAGGCTTTTGGGCGAGTGAGCCAAGTGTCGCAGCGACTTACGTGCAATACCATTTTACAAATTGACCTATTTTGTCTAGCTGACGTTATACATCACCGCCAAATTATTATAGCATGTTCCTTATATTATTCCCGAAATCCCCACAAAGCCAGATTTTGCAATCCGGCCGTCCAAAATTAATGAAAAATAAATGAAGCGTCCGCCGTACTAAGCATCACAGCGAATCACTCCAAAAATTATTTTACGAGATGCAAAATTTCGCCTCGTTGACAATACGTATAATTGCTAAACTGTTACAGTATCTTCCTTGAACTATCCCTGAGGACCTTACACAGCCAGATTTTACAATCCGGCTGTTAAAAATTTATAATATATAAATAAAGCATCAGCCGTACCAGGAGTTGCAGCGAGTCAGGTGGAATACCATTTTACAAAAAGCAATATTTTGTCTTGTTGACGTAATATATGACCATGAACTTGTTATAGCATCTTCCTATAACTATTTCTGAGATCTCTACAGAGTTAGATTTTACAAACAGGCCGTCAACAATTTATTATATACAAATAAAGCGTCAGCTGTACTAAATATCGCAGCGAGTCAGGCGGAATACAATTTTACAAATAAAACGGCAGTAAAACCTGTATGTAGTGGCAGTCCGTGCTACATCCATTTTTAGGCGGTTTATGTCCGTGCTACAAACATAATAGCGTACTTGACAAGCACGGTCTCGCACATTGTTACGTGTTTATAACATGAATTAACATACTAACATGTGCAAAAGAAAAAGAATTGACATTGTGTATGATTAATATCATGAAGATCATACGAAGTGTCCGGTAATTAGCTGCCAACCCGAAATGTGAGGGTAGATTGGGTTGAGACAAATATAAAAGTCCCATACCATTTTGCGAGATTTACAATAATTATCGAGTTATTAATGACAGAAATCTGAGGAGTAAAAGCGCGCCGACATAGATGATACGAAAAGCGTTGCAGCTGCTCGGGGCAGCGATCATGAATCTTTTCCCTAACGTGAACTAATAAAAAGTGAAAGACTTCTGTGAATCAGTGAAAAATAAAAAATTTTATATGAATTTGTGAAAATCGAAACATTTCACACGACAATTGAATCGTTCAACATGGCAGTTGCGCGTTCTGGATAATTCAATGAATACCAAAGAAATCAAAATGATCAAAATAATAATGTCCGTGTAGTCCGAAGGATATTACGTGACACGCAAAATCCGTTTGATATAATATCCAAAGAAAATGTTTCAAAATATGTATGTACAGGTAATATAAACCTTATGCACCAACGAGATATACTACAAAGACTGATGGCCTTACAGGATTTAGCGTACTAGAGAAAATTCCCTGGTAAGGCACCCGGGCGAAAGAGTCTCGCATTTAGCGCAGTAAAATTTAATGGGAACTAATAATTTTCAATCCTTTTCTTCGGATCAAAAAGATTCAGAATTCAGACATATTCAAAATGTCAATACTTTTTAATAGGTTTCAATTCGACATTTTATACAGGGAAGCAGGACGAAGGGAATGGGATGCGGGCAACGATACATCATGCGTCTCCAGACGCGTCAAATCGTTTATTATAGAGGAGACTTTGATACGGCAACATGTATGTAGAGGATTTAATATTTAATATGTACTTTTATTTTTCCTGCTCCCCCCCCCCGTTCTTTTTAGACCTTCGGACATAAGGCCTGTTCGTTTTGTCTGCACTGCTGAATTAGTGCATTAAGTTAAAGTGAAACAAACGTAGATTTTCTCACTTCAACTTGTTGCACCAGTTCAGCAGTGCAGACAAAACGAACAGACCTATTCTGGCATAGCCCCAATTCCACAACTTGCTTGAAACGGAGTTTAAAGCTAAACCAATGGTTAAAAGCAATAGTAAGGCCCAGTTCCACAACTTGCTTCAAACGGAGTTTAAAGCAAATTGTGGAACTGGGCCTAAATGCGCATATACTATTGCTTTTAACCATTGGTTTAGCTTTAAACTCCGTTTAAAGCAAGTTGTGGAACTGGGCCATAGAGATGGTAACTATGGTTGCAGCACGGACATAAACCGCCTGAAAGTGGATGTAGCACGGACTTCCACCACATGCAGATTTTATCACCAAGACCTAAAAGTGGATGTAGCATCGTAGTTCTCCTCTCAAAATGGATGCAGATGGCGCCCATTTCCAGTGCGAAAAATCGGCGTCGCCGAAAACGCCGTGCTGGCCGCTCTCAGCTTCCTCTCTGGTTGGTATCAACGAAAACTTCTAGACGACATAGGCCACGTTCAGTAGACTCAACAGTTGGCCAACATTATTAGATTTTCCACTTAATCTCGTTCCTGATTGATAAATACTTCTGGGTCTATGAAGAATCTAAAAGAATGCTCCAATCACAGACAATAATCACTAAGCGCTCACTGATCATTTTGTTCCTAAGTTTTAGTTTTAGTTCCTAACCTTTAGGAACTAAAACTATGTCGTCTAGAAGTTTTCGTTGATACCAACCTTATCTCCGCTATTTTTCGGGAAACTGTCGTGTTACCCATTGGTTGCGTTCAGAAAATACAACGGTTACACAACGGTTGAGTAATTCGTCAACGTTACTGGTCTGAATGTAAGGATCTAACAGTAAGAACCAATAGTTACTAAGCGCTCAATGAGCACTTTGTTTTCTGAACGCAACCATTTTGTTCTACTGAACGCAGCTAAGGTTTGCTGAGTTTGATATGCATTTCGCTCGTTTCGTCGTGAATTGTCGATTTTGATCGTCTGCCTGCTGTTAATGTGATTTCAAGTTTATTAGAGGTAATATTTCGATATATAATATATTACATTTTCCTTCGTTTTTCTTTTTAAAGCGATGTTTAGCCTCGTTTGGTCGTTAACCCTTTGCGGACGAATTTTTCCTTAACTCCAATTCCCAGCAAGCCGAGCATATTTTCTATACAAAACAAAATTATACATAAAGACTTAAATATTGGAATAAAAAGATAAAGAAAAATATATATTACTTTATGAAAATCTTTGCGAATAACTTCGCGATGCCTTAAAGCATCGCACGGCTTTCTGAAGAGTACATGTAGCGATGACTATAGTCATGTCACGGCCTTAGAAGGTTAAACACGTGTTATTATCAATTCAGTTTATTCGTATATCAAAATAATACATGCATTTGCTTGGTTAAAATTACATAAATTACGATAGATACATTATTACATAAATTATATAAATACATTACGATAAATCGTGATTTTCGGAAGTTGATTGCCGACATTATTGTAAGTTATATACACATAGCACGTGTCGTCTAGCACAATCCAAACAATATTAAATGTTTTTCATTTTCGGCTTAAACACTTAAAAAATAGAATGCATTATTTACAAATATTGTGTGTTGTGCTTTATATGCTACATAAATTATATAATTTGTTGATCTACAAGTGAAATTGTTGTAACATTCAGTTATTAATATAGAAATTTCTGAACATTTATCGTAAAAGTTGCTTTTTTAATTTATTTCAATTTATTCTTACTTTGAACATAAAATATGGACCAAGTTTTGCAGCATTTGTTTATTTTTGCATTTATAAAATTTCTAGTTTGTCAAAGCAAGATGTTGAAAAGTACAATATATATCAACAATATATATTTGTTTTAATGTGCTTTATATCTCTACAAAGCTTGTGGTCTGATTTTATAAAACTTTGTATATTTATATATTCTTAGTTTTGTATTACAAGATCAATATCTCATTTGATAAGTACCATGAAGAGATACTAAATTAAAGTATTTTAGTGTCATCCTTACTACTTGTAGGAATTATTCAATTCATTTACTATAACAAGGTAGTATTCCTTGTATGGGATCTTGTATATTCTCTGTCATTCTTTGTTGTCTGGATCTGATATATTCTTGAAATTAGATTGGATAGTTTAAATTCAGATAGATTTCATCATTATTTTTCATACGAGAAACTCTAATTTGCTCCAGACTGACATTGGAGAAAATTCATAAATTTTTAAAAACACTTGGAAATACCAATATAATTATGTATTCATTACTTGAATATGATAGTATGTATAAAGTATATGTACAAGATTTAGAAATATGTAACCAGAAAAGCAAGGAATATGTTTATGAACAATAATGTAATAAGAAACTGGCAACATTCTAATTTGTGGAAAGTTTCTAATAAACAGAATCTGTTTTAATACTGAGATTTTATACAGTTCTAATAACAAAGAGTGACCATTTAGTTTTTTACATACGTAACACTTACACTTATTAAAAATTATCAAATAATACTCTGATAAAATGAAATTACAATAGACAGATGAGTAGCATATTTTGTACTACTCACAAAGAAATATATTTTAAATAAGATACATCTGTGTAATGATATTATTAAATATTCTACAAATAAAATATTGTATAATTTCATGTCTAATTTGTTTCAGCGTTTGTGTACACTTTCTGGCTCTCTCTCTCTCTCTAATAACGTTTCATTTATTATAAAAATAAGATGACTGAGATGTCTGTAATAGGTTAAGTATACATAATAGATATTTATCCAAGATATTTATATCAATATCAGAGTCTTCCATGTCTTCCCACAAGATATTTTATTCCACCATACGATATAACTTGTGCGACATCCAATTACCAGATAGTGTCATACAGATAAATAAGCTTTTCAATAACATTGATTGATGTATATCATTAAAAATATATAATATATTTAATATATATTCATAAAGGAAAATATCTCTGATTGCCTTAACATTTTGAGATTTGATATTTACACACATTATACACATGCTCCAACACATTAAGAACAGTGGTCATATGTGCCTAAACTTTTCCAGAAATGCCAGTTGCGTCCGAGGTAAAGTCAAGCTGGGCCGACGAGGTCGAAGAAGAGGGAGGAGCGCTGCCCGCACCGTCAGAGATCTACGAGAATGGCCACAAAATACTCACAGAATACAAATATAATCAGGACAACAAGAAGGTGAAAGTAATACGTACTTTCAAGGTGGAACGTCGCGTAGTATCAAAGACGATCGCAGCGCGTAAGAATTGGGCCAAGTTCGGCGATCCCGCCGACGACAGGCCGGGACCTAATCCAGCAACGACCGTTATCGGCGAAGATGTATTTATGCAGTTTATCTCCAGCAAAGAGGAGGAGAACAAGGTGGAGGAGGACTCCTTGGACAAATTGAAGAGCATGGGCGACAAAGGCGTCGTCAAGTGTCGTAATTGCAACGGCGATCATTGGACATCCAAGTGTCCGTACAAGGACACCGTTCTCGCTGGAGGTAAGCGACGACGTAGAATATAAACATGTAACGTCGATCCCAATATTGTTACCGGAATGCTTGTGTTGATACATTTGTTACTAGTCATGTCGGTAAATCTCTAAATTCGCGCTCTGCTCTCTGTTCCAGGGAAAGTACCCGACGACAAGAAGCCGCTCGTTAACACGGCCGTACCGGGTGCGATGGCTGAACTTAAACCGCAAGGTGGCAAGTACGTGCCGCCCGGTATGCGCGACGGCGGCAACAAACGAGGTGACTCTATGCAGATGCAGCGACGAGACGACACGACAGCCATCCGCATCTCCAACCTCTCGCAGAGCACCACTGATGCGGATTTAGACGAACTCGTCAAGCCCTTCGGATCTGTGGTGAAGCAATTCTTAGCAAAAGAAAAGCTTTCCAACCTCTGCAAAGGCTTTGCTTACGTCCATTTTAAACATAGAGCTGATGCTGCGAGAGCGATTACTACTCTAGACGGCTATGGATATGACCATCTTATTTTGAACGTAGAATGGTCAAAACCGCAAGTTCCAAACAATTAAGATTGCGTAAAGTCACGAGGGGGAAATCCATTTATTTATTGTTATTTGTAAATTAAATAATTAAATTTATTTCACACAGCTATTCAAGAATTCAATTTTTTCCCCCCTTTCACTTTAGTTTCATTTTAGTTCAACATTTTAATGACGGAATTGTTTGTTCTAATAAATCTTCTGATTTCTAACATCGAACATAAAAAGTATAAAATTCATTTTGTCAAAACGGTTTTGATATCATTATATTTTTAAGATTGTACGCATCTTGTGAGCAGTATGAACTTATCCCTCTAAAAAAAAAAGAAAAATGAAAAATCGCCGATCATGGACGTAGGAGGAGAAGCGTAAATGGAATTAGTTAAATTGTGGAAAGAAATTTCGAAGAAAATAAAGACGGCAAATGTCCATTTGTTTTCGATGTGGTTTGGACTCTCGATGGGAACGCAACCGATAAATACAGCATCATTTTAGTTCTTTAGTAATTTCAGTTCTTTCATTGCATATACCGAGAAAAATGTGTCCAAACCGTATTGAGACAAAATATCTACAGGAAGATATTGCATATTCCTGCGATATCAGAAACAAATTAAGAAAAACAATAACAGTCCATATTTAACGTTCTAAAAAAATCTAAATTAAATTTTCAATTGTCCAGTTAATATGAATATTACGTCTAGATGCCAACTGAAAATTTAAATGCCTAAATTTAGCGTTGGTTTTAGAACGTGAATACAGGCCGAATCCTTTGTCTGCTGTTTTATATTAATAATTATTTTATATTAATAATTATTAATTATTTACACGCTATTACATAAACGACGCTTTAAACGTGGTCTACAATGGGTGCATTCAGTACTACAATCGCTCACTGGGCGCTAAATGAGCTCTTGCATCTGATTGGTGTATATTTTTAAATTTAAAAGAATTGTAGTACTGAAGAGTTGTAGTACTGAATGCATCCATTGACAGTAAGGGCAAGAGCACAGGCTTTTGCATAACACATAATACCTAACACATAAGAGAATAAACCAATTAGTTTTCTTCATTTCCCTCAGGACAAAAATAAAGAACTCTGATTGGTTGATTCTCTTATGCGTTGTGTATTATGCGTTATGCAGAAGTCTGTGCTCTGGCCTTAAGTAGTAAGAAGTAAACCAATCACAGTCGACTACGACAAAAATAATCAACTGTAGTTGGTCCATTTCTTAAGTGTCGTCTACAATGGCAGTAAATAGTAAGAAGTAAGCGTAAGCGGTAAGAAATAAACCAATCACAGTCGATTATGACAAAAATAATCAACTGTGGTTGGTCCATTTCTTAAGCTAGCGGCACACGGTGCTTGTTTTCGTGCTGGATTGCTTGCTGGATGAAAATACTGCATTCTGATTGGTGCATTTCCGAAGATGAATAGAAATGCACCAATCAGAACGCAGTATTTTCATCCAGCAAGCAATCCAGCACGAAAACAAGCACCCTGTGCCGCTAGTTTTACTGTTCACGCTTTCTTCTTACTGCTTACGGCCATTGTAGACCACGCTTTACTGTTCATGCTTACTTCTTTCTGCTTACGGCCATTGTAGACCACACTTTACAATATGTATTATAAGCTGTAAGGTGTAAAAACTGACCAATTATAGCCGATTATTTTTTTAATAATCGACTGTGATTTGCCAATTCTTACGGCTTACAACTTACGACACGTATTATAGATCAGGCCTAAGGCCGGTTGCACACAAAACAAGTTAGAGAATATCAGTAGCCAATCATTGTTCCAAATGCAGCGTGTTCGTAAATACTGGCTGCGTTCCGATATTCACTGCTAGTACTGAAAATATATAGTTTATATCACGTATACTATAGATTTTCAGTGCTGGCAGTGAATATCGAAACGCAATAAGTAAAGAATCGTGGACATTGGCATCGTAGTTCATATGCACGGTTGTACAGAGAGCGTTTCGTACTTGGTTCGGCTAAAAACGGCCCATGACCCATCTCTTTCTTCTCTCTAGTCTAGCTCAGATTAGCTTGTACACTCGTGATCTAAAAGGTATGTGCATCGATTTTTTGTTGATTTCGGAACGCGTTCCAACTTGAGGAGAAAGACAACTACTGCTTCATACGTCAGTGCTGTCACTTATTATGAGAGCAGAATGATGGTATATACGTAGTGTCAAATAAGTAGTGATAGTGGCGTAAACATAAATGTCTTGGAGACTTTGAGTTATAATTGAAGAAATAATGAACACAAATAGTGATTGTGAAGAAAAGTGGCAAAAGGTTTTATAAAATTTGTAAAACAGTATATTAAAGGAGAGTATTAATTGTTTAATAATATTTTAAGTGAAAACTATTTTTAAATTTGTGTATAAGTTAAAAAAGTTATAAACCATAATTTCTTTAATGTTAATAATTTTATAGCTATAAATTTGCCATCGACGTTAAATGAATATATATCAGGTGTAGTAAAAAGAAATCCATTATTTTTGCATGAAATTGAAGGCTTTAATTACCATAGTTAGAATAATCCGATTTAGGTCAAATATGCGCCGTTTTGTTCGACAACTTGTTGCCATTTTGAAGGTAATTTCATTATGCCTCTCTCATAGAAGCCCTCGTCCCTATTGGCAAAAAATTGAGACAGTCGATTTTCACAAGCCTCTCTTGAAGCGAATTTTTCACCAGAAAAATTGTTCGCCATGGACAAGAACAGATGGTAATCACTTGGTGCCAGGTCCGGACTATAAGGTGGATGCATAAGAACCTCCCAACCAAGCTCCCGGAGCTTCTGGCGAGTCACTATCGATGTGTGTGGCCTGGCGTTGTCCTGATGGAACACAATTCCTCTCCTATTGGCCAAAGCTGGCCGCTTCTGGGCGATTGCTTCCTTCAGACGGTCCAATTGTTGACAGTACAGTTCCGAGTTAAGAGTTTTGCCGTAGGGGAGCAGCTCATAGTAGATAATTCCCTGCCAATCCCTCCAAACACACAGCAAAACCTTCCTGGCCGTCAATCCTGGCTTGGCCACCGTTTCCGCTGGCTCACCGCGATTCGACCACGACCGTTTTCGCTTGACGTTGTCGTAAGTGATCCACTTTTCATCACCAGTGACCAACCGCTTCAGAAATGGGTCGATTTTGTTGCGATTCAGCAGCGATTCGCAGATGGAAATTCGGTCCATGAGATTTTTTGCGTTAACTCATGTGGTACCCATACATCGAGCTTCTTTTTGTATTCAGCCTTATTCAAATGGTTCCAAACGGTTTTTTGTGCAATCTTTAGCTCTTGGGCAATCGAAACAGTGCTTACATGATGGTCGGACTCGACAATGTCCATGATTTTATCGATATTTTCGACAATTGGCCTTCCAGTGCGTGGTGCATCTTTGACATCGAAATTACCGGAACGGAATCGACGAAACCAAAATTGCGCGTGATTGGCTGTTACAGTATCAGGACCATAAACACTATTCACATTTTCAGCCGCCTGGCTTGCGTTTTCGTCTTTATCGAAGAAAAACTGTAAAATATAGCGTATTTTCTCTTTGCTAGTGTCCATCTTTGACGCGCGCTCAAACAAAACTGAGTCAACTAATCACAAAACTGTCAGAAAAGTTTTTTTAGTACGAAATCTCATCTTTCTAACGCCATCTAGTGAAACCCGATCGGACTTATACAACGCGAGATACAAATAACTGAAGCCATCTATTGGAAAAATAATGGATTTCTTTTTACTACACCTGATATGTAATGCTCATCATCATTTCATAGGTGGATCATTTATATAGGTGGAAAATTATGTTATTGCGCTTGTAAAAAATAAGCTGCAGACCAAGTCGAGTGATATTTTTTTAACAAGATACTCATATCACTCAACTTGGTCTGCTGCTTACTTCTGCTGAGCACAATAATATAATTCCTCACTTATGCAAATAATAGCATTATATATATTCATTCAACGTCGATGACAAATTTATAGCCTTAATTAACATTAAATATGAATTATTAAAATTATGGTTTATAGTTTTTTAACTTACACTTATAACTTTTTTAACTTACATAAATTTAAAAATATTTTTCACTTAACATATTATTAGTAATTAATATTAAAATAATTAATACTCTCCTTTAATATACTGTTTTACAAACTTTATGAAACCTTTTGCCACTTTTCTTCACAATCACCATTTATATCATTTTTTCTTCAATTATAACTCAAAGTTTCCAAGACATTTGTGTTTACGCCACAATCACTACTTATTTGACACTACGTATATAACATCATTCTGCTCTCGTAATAAGGGCCAATTGTTCCAACTTCGTGGTAAGTTAACTGATAGTTAAATTATATCTCTGTTTTTGTCTAAGTTGAAGGAAAACAAGCATAACGAAGACAATATGATTTAACTATCAGTTAACTTTTACCAAGAAGTTGGAACAACAGGACAGAACCAGGCCTGTATCTCTAACCGTTTAGGAGATAACGAAGATTAAAGTTTTCCAACATTTCTCCGTTGATATCTCCGCTTCTACTGGGAGTAGAGAGTCGTCCATGTAGTCGAAAATGTAGGGTTTTGACAGGACTTTATTTTGGTGCCAGAACCAGGCCTGTATCTCTAACCGTTTAGGAGATATCGAAGATTAAAGTTTTCCAACATTTCTCCGTTGATATCTCCGTTTCTACTGGGAGTAGAGAGTCGTCCATGTAGTCGAAAATGTAGGGTTTTGAGAGGACTTTATTTTGGTGCCAGAACCAGGCCTGTATCTCTAACCGTTTAGGAGATATCGCAGATTAAAGTTTTCGACTACATTTTCGACTACAATGACGACTCTCTACTCCCAGTAGAAGCGGAGATATCGACGGATGAAGGATGGATATCGACGGAGAAAGGTTGGAAAACTTTAACCTTCGATATCTCCTAAACGGTTAGAGATACAGGCTTCGGACAGGTACCAAATTAAAGCCCTTTCAAAACCCTACATTTTGGACTACATGGACGACTCTCTACTCCCAGTAGAAGCGGAGATATCGACGGATGAAGACTGGATATCGACGGAGAAAGGTTGGAAAACTTTAACCTTCGATATC